TGTTTTCATGACTGACAGTTTGGAAGCAGATGGCCAGGCCTTTCTGTCACGGTGCCTCTGGGTGGGTTAGTAGCCAGTGGCTGAGCCATTTGTGCCGGGCTGGCCGGCCACATCGCATGAACACATCCCTGATAGCTTACTGAGCCTACCAGATTGTTCCCTTGGTTCTAGTCATACGTTTACACTTTCTGCTACGGCCTCTCCTTCCGGGAGCCTACATATTGTCTTTTCAGTTGCTGTTAGTCAGATACCTATTCCTAGCAAAAGTGCTTCATTACCTACCTCCTCTATTAATATTCTGAGTATTGTAATTTATAACATATTGCATGTGGTTAAAGCTGAAGTGAGAGTGATTTGGTAGAAAATCTAGCACTTTGCAGTAGTGGGAGGTGATTTGGTAGGGTCCAGGCAGTCATTAAAGTTTACCAAGTGTTGACTGGGTCCTAAGCACTGTGATAGATGCTGAGGATTCACAACTGAATAAGAAATGCCCCCTGCCTTGAAGGCAGTTGAATGACATTGAGAAAGACAATTCTTCGCAGTGTGATAAATGTCACGATAGAAGTGTGTCTTAGGGTATTGCTAAAGTTCTTCCAAGCCCTAAAAGTCTATGAAACTACCACTGACACATCTAAAAAGTGTAGCTTCATCATTTTACAAATGACAGAAATTTTAAAAGTCCATCATTACCAAGTGTGGGTGAGAATGTGATGCAGGATGCATTCTTAAAATCTTCTGTTGGAAGCATAAATTGGTATAAACACCTAGGTGAGTGTTTTGACAGTAAATAGGAAAGTGAAAAAATGGGCCTGTCATACAGCCCAGCATTTCTACTTCTAGGTACGTACCCTAGAGAATCTCCTGTATATTTCCCATGCTCTGAGTGTCAGAATGGTCCAGAGCTTGTCCTCAGACCTCTGCTCCACCTATCCTCACGCTTTAGGTGAGCTCATCCAGGCCTGCGGCTTTACATTTCTTCTCTATGCATATGACTTTCAAATTAAACTACACTCCTAACCTTTGACTTGAACTTCAGACCTATACTGTTGTTGTTACCTTGTGCTGTTGAGTCGATTCTGACTCATGGCAACCCCACGTGTTTACAGAGTAGAACTGCACCATAGAGTTCTGCTGGGTGGATTCGAATCACCAACCTTTCAGTTACCAGCTGAGCGCAAACCGTTTGTGCCACCCAGGGACCTTAGACCTATATTGGAACTCTCCATTTGGACATCTAATGGGCATTTCAGATGCATGCGTATAACATAGGAGTCCCTGGATGGCACATATGGTTAAGTGCTCGACTACTAGCCAAAAGGTTGGTGGTTTAAACCCACCCAGAGGTGTGCCTTGCCTGCTGATCTGCATCTGAAAAGTCACAATCTTGAAAACACTATGGAGCAGTTCTATTCTGGACACATGGGGTCACCACGAGTCAGATCCTACTCAACAGCACCTAACAACAACATGTATAACATGTTTTGATTCTCCTCACCTCTGGCCTGTTTCTTCGCCAGCCTAGAAAATAGCACCATTATTCATCCAGTTTTTCATTCCAAGATTTCAACACTTGGAATCACTCTTGACTTGTTTAATTTTTTTGTATCTCATCTGATCCATCAGCAACAGCTGCAAGTTCTATCCTCTGAATAAATCCCTTCTTACCATCTCACTTTTACCAGACTGTCCAAACCTGCATCATCTCTGCCTGAGCACAACCAGCTGGCCTCTAACTGATCTTCTCCTTTCTACTCATTGGCCAACAATGCATGCTGCATACAGCAGCCAGAACAAATCTTTTAAGACTAAATCCATTCATGTTATTCCACTCTTCAAAACCCTCCAAAGGTAACCCTTGGCTACCTCTCCATCCTCCTTTCCAGCTACTTTTCCCCTTGATTATTCACTCATCTTGCTGTCCTTGAATATACTGGGTATGCACTCTCCGGTGTCAGACTCATGGCGCTTGCTCTTCTTTCTGCCTGGAATGCGGCTCCCAGGTGTGCATGTGGCTTGCCCCCTATGAAATGAATGTGATCTCCTCAGAAGGGCTTCACTGGCCTCCATATCTAAAACAGCATCCTGTTTATTCCATATCAGTTTTCCTCCCTTGCCTTCTTTTTCCTTCTAGCACTTATTTCACATTATATCAAATTACATTTATTTGTTAACTTATTTGTTTCTCTTTCCTACAATAATGTTTTAGGAAGGTAGGGCTTGTCTCTTTCTTCCACTACTGTGTCTATCCCAATGCCTTGAATAATACTTGCTGTTAGGATGAATAAATGTGCCCAAGGAGATAGGAGCACAAATTTTTATCGCAGTAATTTTTGTTATAATTGAAAATGACCTAAATATCCATAAACAGAATAATGGATAATACATTGTGGTATATTTGTATATGAACTACCATATATCCAGTGAAAAGTAAATGAACAAGAGCAAAGTATATCAACTGGATAAATTGCAAGAAAATTTAGAACAAAGATTGCAAGGTGCAAATGCATATAGTGGAATCACTTTTATATAAATTTAAAGTCCTTCAAAGTAGTCTATCTCTTGTTGGGATAAATGCATATATAGTGAGGTTAGGAATGTAGTAAAGTTGGGAACGGTAAACTCAAAATCAAGGTAGTGGTTTTCTCCGAGTGGGTGGGAATATGGAAATAAATGGAACAGAGGTGAGGTCCACAGGGCACATCAACTGCATCTGTAATCAAGTATTCCTTTAAAAGATGTAAAAGAAGTACAGCAAAATGTTAAGATTTAACAGAGCTATGGTGTTACTCCATGACTATTTATTATGCTATCGTCTGCACTTTTCTGTAAGCTTGAAATCAGTTCCTAATTTGAAAAAGACTTAAATAAAAACAAAAACCTGAGACTGTTGATGGTCAGTGAGGTAGAAGAAGATGCAGATATATCAATCGTCTCTCCTACAGTTGTGACATGGGCTCCGCCCCATGTCAGAAAAATGTGACTGAAATGAACCGTGGCTCTTGGGGACCACATTTTAACTACCACTACACACTCTTATTAGCAGTTCCATACCCTGATTTATGAATAAAATAGGAAAATGGAATGTTTACATTCAGAGAGGCCACCATCTCCAAGAAGGTCCTTTCTCCAATCAGATGAGAGGAATAATGCTTTACAATTGTACCTTTTCTATTTTTTAAAGAGCACCTCTCATATATATTCTCATTTACCATTCATGACAGTTCTGGAAAGCAGGTGGTTTCAGTATTTTTTCCCATTAGACAGAAGAAGAAACTGAAAGGATAATTGAGTGCGTGGCAGACGTAGAACTAGGCCACACTGACCTCTGGTGACCACACACTTGGTGTCAAAGGGTCCCCAGAAGGTGAAGTACCCCTGAACTTAGGGAACTAAGTACTCCTGCCTTCATGGATATGAAAGCAGAATGGCACCTATTTGTGGCTACATTGTGTTACTTAAAATGTACAACTCTATCATTTTACTCAGCATTCCCATTTCTGTAAGATGACGCTTCTTGGGAAGAGACTATGAAGTTTTTACTCTTAACTGTTTAAGCTGCCTTGAGATCATGTAAAATGTGAGATTTGTATCTTCACAATCACATATTCTACTAGGATATTCTTTTTTCCCCTAGGCCTCATATCCAGTGATGGGTTTTGCAGATATCTGATGTCAGATGAAAATGCCCCAGTCTTCCTAGATCGCTTAGAACTTTATCAAGAAATGGACCACCCTTTGGCTCACTACTTCATCAGTTCTTCCCATAACACCTATCTCACTGGCCGACAGTTTGGTGGAAAGTCTTCGGTAGAAATGTACAGACAGGTTCTCCTGGCTGGCTGCAGGTTGGAAGCTCAAGATGACTGTTTTTGTGCATAATGCCCTTTGATTTGATTTATTTTCCTCTGAAAAATGTTGTTGTTGTTGTTAGCTGCTGTCAGGTTGGCTGCTGGTTCATGGCGACCCCATGCACAACTGCCCAGTCCTGCACCATCCCCATGATTGGTTGCAGATTGGACTGTTGTGATCCATAGAGTTTTCTCTGGCTGATTTTCAGAAGTAGACCACGAGGCCTTTCTTCCTAGTTTGTCTTGGTTTGGAAGCTCTGCTGAAACCTGTTCAGCATCGTAGCAACACATAAGCCTTCACTGACAGATGAGTGGCGGCTGTGCATGAGATGCGTTGTTGGGACTCAAACCCACTTCTCCTGCACAGAAGACAAGAATTCTACCACCGAACCATCACTGCCACCCTCTGGAAAATAGCAAGTAGTAATCAGAGTAAAGAGAACATTTGTCTTTCTCTTTAATGGATTATTATAGTCATTTAGCCTTGGCGAGGAAAGACAACATTTGTTCCAGAAAGGTTCTCTTGTGGGTCAAGTGATAGTTTTATATAAATGGAAAATATGTCCCCCCAAAAAAAAAATTGGGGGAAAAAAAAGAAAATAAGCATATTTTAAGAAGTCATATATCAAATTTTCTGTTGCTCAAAGGCAATCAATGAAGAGGTGTCCCTGGTAGTTTTACTTGCAAATTTAACTTTACTTTAAAAAAAAGTTTTAAAACTTAGTTATCTGAAAATAAAAATTATTCAAAATGTTTTTCTCTTACAGAAACTGCCAAATGTTTCTGATTTAAAGTATAACAAAAATACTAAGGTGCAACTAAGAAATATAGTTAAATTATGATTTTTTTCTTGGTTATCAATAACCAGTATTTTATTTTTTTTAACCCACTATTTTTTGAATGTGGGAATACTTTAAAATAAATTGACTACATTATTACTTCTGTCTCTGACTACTTCAGTGTGAATCATTAAAATAATAAGAATATTTTCCAACATAGCCAAAGTAACATCATTCTAACTAACAAAATTAAAAAATAAATTTTTTAACATCATTGAAAACCCAGTCCATCTGCAAATGTCCCCACTTGTCCCCAGATTGTGCTTTATTGCAGCTCTGTCACACCTAGGATTTCATGCAGAATCACACTGCTTGTTATGTCTCTGAAATGTCTTTTGCTCTAAGATAGTCACCTTTTGATTATGTCAACTGGATGAAGAGAATATGATTTTAACCATATAGCCTACAAAACAATCCTGTTAGCTAATTCATTCTATTTTATGCTTCTGTAAAAAAAAATTTTGTTGTCTTTTAATTTGTGCACACACTATTTTAAGGACTCAATATTGTAATTTCACTATATTCCTAGATGTGTTGAACTTGACTGTTGGGATGGAAAAGGTGAAGACCAAGAACCAATTATAACTCATGGAAAAGCAATGTGTACAGATATCCTTTTTAAGGTAAGTTTTAAATTACACAGCCACAGCCTCTTCCAAACTATTATGAAAATGCAGGAAATATGGAGATGGAGAAGAGAAAGCTAATTATTCGTTTTCTCAAGCATTTTAGCTTCATATTTCTTTCTTCCAGTTTTGAGGAGAAAGTCGAGAAAAAGATTTTCTCCACTTAAAGATGTATCCTTCATGCTCCTTTTTCTGCTTTCAGATGGTGACTGTGCTACGTAATGAAGTTTCTTTGGCAATCTGCCTGGTTCTCCTTACCTTAAAAACAGCTTTTCATTTTCTTATCTACTGATTTACTTAGTTACTTTGCGGTATTCCTCAAAGGACATCAAGGTGGCATAAAAGGATAAATAGAACACAGAAAATGAAATAGATTATAAGTAGTGCTTGTAAGGGTAAGAAAATAAGATAATGCCAACAGTAAGACTAGACTGTATGAATGCTTACCAAGAAGTTCTCTTAACTGACAAACCATACCACGAGTTGGGCTCCACTCTTTCTAGAATCCAGTGCAAAGAGAGAAATGATGAGTTCCAGAAAACCATAAAGTACAAATAGAGCAGTTAGTTAAGAGAAGCACAGCTATGCTCAGTATTGAGACCAGAGAGAATTTTTCTCCTGTGGACCCTCATAAAGAAGAATCAACAATTATATAAATAGATATCTCCAGTAATGGTCTTTTGGTGATCTCAGTGTAAGATTTCAAGGCTGGTTTCTTAGAGTGTTCCTCAATATGGCCCAATGATGTCCTGCCAAAGGACAAGTCAAAGAGAATGAGATTTTGTGTTTGGCCAATATGCCAAGCGTGTCAGTCTCTGTTGGTCTTATGTAACTAGGGATGGATATTGTAACATCCAAAAACAACAGTTCTCAACCCTGTCTGCATGTGAAAAATCACCAGGGGTAGTTTTTAAAACACAGATGCCTAGGCCCTGCACCCATAACACTTCATGCATATCATTTCTCTTAACCAAGATGTTTGTGAGCTTTGAGCATCAATAAATTCTGGATTATGCTCTCTGAGAAGTACCAAGAGTACACTGAAGTAAGAAGCAATGAGTTTGCACAGTCAGCCAAACTGATAGGAAAAGTTGATGCACACACTCCTCCCTTATTGACATGGCTAGGTTCCAAAGACCAGGTGGCTATGTGAAAATCGGCGTTATGCAAAAATGGAGAGTGACCACATCAGATCACAAAATGGAGGATGACTGCATTATTACATAACTGCCAAATTACATCATTACATAACTGCCAAACCACTGAGAATCATGGCCCAGCCAAGATGACACATAACCTTAATTATCACAGGCAGCGTTACTCTTGCCTCACATCTCGGTGTTTGTTACTACCAGACGTATGTCAATAATGCACAAAATAGTCGGATAGTAAATTTTTTACTATTGTCATAAATGTGAAATGTCAGATAACGAGACAGTCGATAAGTGAGGAATAGGTATAATCTTTTTAGAAAATTAAGGAGTTTAATAAGGAAGCATAGCTAAATAAAGGCCATGCCACCAGTATTTAGAGATGAGCCACTGAGAACCCAAGGACCAAGCCAAGATGCTCCTGGAGGAGTAATTCTTGGTCAGCTCAAGTAGACAATCAAGATCACAGCCATTTTCACATGGGAAGAAATTTCAAGCAAGAATCCCCAAATGACCACCTCAGTCATAAGGATATCTCAATAAAATACATACTTCCAAATTATCCAAATTTGGCATTATAGTTTCAAATGGATTTCCCTAGATAGCTATTTGTACAATATTTTCCTGATTAATCAAATGATGGGGCTTGCCCTTTGGTTAGCTATAAGCCAGTAAGAATTTGAGAATTTTTACCAAGTAGGATGCTCCAGTTTAGAAGCATTGTTCTGTAGCCATTCTTTGTAAAGCTAAGCAGAGAACAGGTCCAATAGTTTGTTAAGGCCTATCCTATTTCATAAGGGGGCCTGGTGGCACAGTGGTTAAAGAGCTTACCTGCTAACCAAAAGGTTGGCAGTTCAAATCCACCAGCTGCTCCTTGGAAACCCTGTAAGGCAGTTCTATTCTGTCCTATAAGGTTGCTATGGTTAGAATCAACTCAACTTGATGGCAATGGGTTTGGTTTTTGATTCATAGAGATGGGGAGATGACATGTTCAGCTCATTCAGCAGTGTTATCAAGTGATTAAGGTAGGTTACAAATAAGGGGTCCACAACACTTTGCTGTTTTACCTCACATGTTGCTTCATCAGCAAGGGGAACCCCTCCTCAGTGACCTCGCTTTTCACCAGGCTAATACCAAACAAAGGATATTGCAAATGCCACATCCACACACAGGGGTCTATATCAGGTTAATGAAATGTAGCCCAAGACTGACTCCAGAACACAGAGGAAAGTCACTAAAGTTTCCAGAAGCCGTGAGGTTCTTAACAACAGATTTCTCCACACAGTGGAAGAAGTGGAAGAGTGGTCTGTAGTGAAATAGCTGCGGCAAAAACTCCCCTCTCGTCACTGAGAATGGTGAACTCTGAGCTCCTGTTTGGCAGATTATCGAGCAAGGAACTGGCATACCATTTAGATGAAACGTCTAGTCAGTTAATAGCACCATAATTTTGGAGACGTGAAGGATAGCTCTGGAAAAAAAATAATTATGAACCATTAACTGTGCCCTGGGTCTAACCATAGGAGACTGACTCTGTAGTTATCTAGGTAAATGGGATCGCCCAATCTGAGCTGCTGGCATTGACTTTCTGAAAGGCTCAGATTAACTAGCCTCTGAATAGTTTTAGGTGCCTTAAAACTTTTGCTCTTTTCTCTTATTAAGTCTCTTTATCTTTAAAGGATGTAATTCAAGCCATCAAGGAAACTGCATTTGTCACATCCGAGTATCCTGTTATTCTCTCCTTTGAAAATCACTGCAGGTATAATTATTCATTCTATCCAAGCCTGTGAGTGTTGTATCCTAACCCCCACTTCTGTTCTACATCCTTTAAAATAATTTGTTTTGTGAAGTTCTAAATACTGACTAATTCTCCAGTTAAGGGCACAGAGTCTTGTGCAAAAACAAAAACAAACAAAACAAAAAAACACTTAACATTATTTTAATGTGTTTTAAAAATGCTCCCTCTAAGCAGAAGATCAGAGATTGGGATACCTTGCTGAAAGTTTCATCGAGCTGGAAGATTTGACAATATATTTGAAGGCAGACTTCATTAATTTGAAAAACACTTTTCATTCTGTTTACCAACCCTTAGTTTCGGAGTGGAATCTTCTCCTTTCCTAATTACACCATTTAAAGTTTATGGTATTTAAAAGTACATCTCACATTAACATCATAAGGCCAATCATGCGTTTGGCAGAATGGGAGTTTTAACTGTGTAGGAATGGGCGCTTCTTATTCTTGGACTGTTAATAGATGTTTGAATTTACAAATGCCAGTTCTTTCTCTCCAGCAAATATCAACAGTACAAGATGTCCAAATATTGCGAAGATCTATTTGGGGATCTCCTGTTGAAACAAGCACTTGAATCACATCCAGTATGTATTTTTAGATAACCATATTTCTAGCATGAATGGATTTGTTTTGAAATTCATTTCTGAAGGGTCAAGTAGTACTAGAGGACTAATGCTAAAGATCTTCGTATCTATTTAAATTCCTTGATACAGAAAGCCTTTCATCATGCTTGACAGGGACGTATAGAGAGACATAAAATAAACGTCTCGTTGAATATAATCTGGAAGATCATGGGGTCTTAAGTTGTTTGCTTTTCCATCCGGAAATTTCATAAAGCACTCAGTGGCCAAGGATCTAGACTTAGCACTGCCTCTCAGCTTTAGTTACCTGTTAGATTCACCTGGGGAGTTGTTAAGACTACCTGTGTCAGGACCCTACTCTTAGAGATTCTGGTTTAATTGATCCAGGGTAGGACCTGAGCATGGTGTTTTTAAAGCTCTCCAGGTAAGTCAAACGTACACCTAAGGGTTCAGAACCCATGGGAGCATGTTGCTATGGAAAATACCCTAGATCACACTCTTAACTCCAAAATAACCGTCGGGGCAATATTATGTGTACATTTTTTGAGCTTCACTTTATACCTGCTAATTTCTTCATAATGCCAAATATTCTTAACCTGTGGCCCATAGATAGGCTTTATGGGGTCTATGAACTCATTCTGATGGTATACAAATATTTTGTGTGTAATTATTCCAGAGAGTTCTTCACATTCTTAGAAGAATCCACAGTCCTCAAATAGAAGGTACTTTGCTACATGTGAATACTTAGGGGGGGCTTAACAATGAGTGTTGTTTTTCACAAGTGTGTCTATGGAAACTGAAAAACACAGAGGAGACAAGTTATTTGCCTCTTTTGCTCCCGCCCTCTGATTATCTTTAGCCTGCTTAAGCAGTGACTGTGGGCGCCTTTTCTGCCTGTCTCCTGCAGCACTGACTGTTTTCCCTGCACATTGGATTGACTTCCAACTGCCAGTGCCTACAGCATTGTGTCTGAGGCCATGCTCCGGTCACCGGAGCCTGCTCTGCCCACATGAAGGACAGGCCAGAAGTGCCAGAGAATTCACCTCCCCCTCCTCCCCAAGCTCCCTCACTCCCCAGCTGGGGTAACCGTGAGCACGTGTTCTCCACTTCCTCCCAGGTGCCCCAGCAGGGACAGTCTCCAGTTGCCCACAGTGATACCTTGCTTGATAGCACACCTTTTCTTAGCTCCCTTCTTCTTTTTCTTACTTCTTGTCTCCTCTGCTCTTGTTTCCTGGGATTGCCTCCCAGGTAAACTCCTGGCACTTTAATCCTTGTCTCAGAAGCTGTTTCTAAGGGTTCCCAAACTAAGATAATCCCTGATTGATTGGCTTTACCAAAGCCCTCTGTTTATTATCTTGGTTGGGCTAAGGCACTTTTGTGGAAAGACCACTGCATTCTTAGTGGAGTGATGCACACATAGTACATGAAGGGTATTGTAGGAAGTACAGGTAGTGTAAGAGGGAGTAAGACCTGCTTCCTGATCTAAGGGGCATTTAATTTTGGGGAGGTCACAGGACACAAATGAAAACATACAACTAAATTAGGAGATGGCCTAAGATGTGTTAAATATTTGTTGGGAATGTCCAGGTCCAGGGGACTGGAGAATGGATCACTTACAGCAGGCTTTCTGAAGGAAGCAGAGTTCAGGCAAAGTGGTTTGTTTGAGGGAAGACAGGCACGGGAGTACCCAGGGCTTTCCATGTAATGAGTAGCATACAAATTCATTCTGAAAATGAATGAATGGATGGAAGGACAGATAGGTGGTTGGGAGAGTGGATGGGTAAGTGGGCGGGTAGATGAATGAAGGAATGAAAGACGGGAGTGGATGACTAGATATAAGACAGTTCTTTGGCTCAGAGGAGATAAAGAGAAGGAAGGGACACCTGCTTTGCAGATGTAAGTGAAGCCATGGTAGAGTTTAGATTTCAGAAATGAGGAGCACTGCTTCTTTATTACCCGCAAAGCCACAGTCCCAGGTGTTAGATTGGATCAGCTGACTGAGCTCACAGGCATACTGGACAGCCTAAAACTTGGCGGACCCGGGGAGCCTCTTGGCTTATGCCTAGGAAAGCCAATTCTGACCTCAGCCATCACGATGATCTCTTCGGCTTCACCAGACCTTTGAAGGCCTGATATAGAGCAGTAACCCCTCCTGAAACACACCACCCAAGCTCTGACCCCAGCTCCCTTTGGGAAAGTGGAGCAGCTCTGCCCCTCTAGAGACAGCCTGGATTTCAAGTTTGCAGCCTTAGTCTAAGGCAGAGTTTGATGTGTGGGCTGGTTCCTGTTGGGGAGTGACCACTTAAAAAACTGTGCTGAGTGCCATCTAGTGGATGTTGGGTTGTATAACTCATGGGCCTTCATGCTCATTCTGGCCTTGGGAATGAAAATGAAGAAACACAACCTGTCATTAACTCAGATCTTTCTGTTTGTTTCTAGCTCGAACCCGGCAGACCCTTGCCATCCCCTAATGACCTCAAAAGAAAAATACTCATCAAAAATAAACGGCTGAAGCCTGAAGTTGAGAAAAGTAAGGCAAATACACACATACATGATGGAAGTACACTCACATGATATGTTTGCACAGTTCTGTTTTCTAGAAAGAAATCACTGAGTTTTTAGGGGGTAGGAGTGTAGTGGTGACGTTATATGTGCTTTCCTTTTCAAAGCAAGGTTGCCACATTTCCAGTTATGTTTAGTTGCCACATCAACTCCTTCCTGCACTGGCAGAAACATACTCATGTATTTCCTATGCCAGGATTTAGAGGGGTCCCAAGGGGAAATGGAGCCCTGGTAGTGTAGTGGTTAAGAGCGTGACTGCTAACCAAAACGTCAGCAGTTCAAATCCACCAGCTGCTCCTTGGAAACCCTATGGGGCAGTTGTATTGTCTTACAGGGTCGCTATGAGTCAGAATCGACTCAACGGCAACAGGTTTCAAGGAAAATGGAAAAGGCATTTTAGAATTTATCAAGATAGAAGGAACTGGCATCTTTTAATTTTATATACATGAAAGTCCTCTTAAAAAGTTTCTCTTTGCAGTTTGCCCGTGTGATATATGCATATCTGAGGATCCTAACTAAATACACGAGTTCGGGAGTGTGTGTATGTGTGTGGAGAGAGAGAGACAGAGAAAGGATTTTTGTTGAGAAAATTTTTTATTTTCTTTTCTTTCAGCCTGTTTTTTAGTTCAGTGAATTAGTAGCACCAAATATTGGTATGATGACACTGTGTTTTCTCCAGGTATTCTAAAGTAACATTTAAAAATTATATGAATGACTATTTTTATTATGAAAAAGATAATGTCAGGAAAAATTCAAACAAAGAAAATAGAATAATTCCAAATTTTATACACACACATTTATACAAATATATGTGTAATATATATAAATGTATATACACATACATGTTTATACATATACACACATTTTAACAAAACTGAGATCATGTTAACATACTGATGGTTAATTTTTTATTCAACCAATTCAGTATACCTGCATCTGGTAGTTTGTAATTCTACATAACTTTAATTGCAATGTATGAAACATTGTATGTAGTTCATTAAATGGAACGTAGTATAATTAACCAGTCCCAAGTGAATGGACTTTTACTTGTATAAAAACAACAATGGTAAGAACACTTGATGTTGATTTGTACATTTTTGAAACTTTCTCTTTGGTATCAATTGGGACAATTCAAATTGCTTAGCCAAAGCATAAGGAGCCCTGGTGGTGAAAAGGTTAAGAGCTTGGCTCCTAACCAAAAGGTTGGCAGTTTGAACCCACCAGCCACTCTTCAGGAGAAAAGACCTGGCAGTCCACTCCCTTAAAGATTACAGCCTAAGAAACCTTATGGGACAGTTCTACTCTGTCATATAGGGTTGCTAAGAGTCGGAATCTACTCAGTGGCACACAACAAGAGCCAAAGCATATGCACATTTTGTCTGATGCATCTTGTTATACTGTCTTTCAGAAAAGTTGTATCAATTTGCACTCACACCAGCAGTGTACAAGAGTGCCTGTTTCACAGCAATATCCTTAACACTGACCATTGACCATCTTTTACGTGTGCCCAACAAATAGAAGAAAAGCAGTATCTCGTTTTATTATTTGCATGTCTCTAATAACTAGTCTCTGTATATACTCTTTTGTGATTTTCCCCTGCATGTTTGCCCATTATTCTTTCATTTCATTGGTCTTTATTTTTATTTATTTTTAAGAGCTTTTTATATATTATGGATAACAACCCTGGTTGTATCAGTTGTAGATATTTTTTTCTTGAAGATTTTTCAGTCTCCAGTGTGCATTTCTCTTTTCTATTACATCTTCACCGTAATTGTTAATAAACCTTGGTCATTCCCAGATTCTCCAAATTATGGGCTTTTGTTATCCAGCCTTAAATCCTTTACAATGACTACGTTCCCCTCTCAAGCCTGGTGACCAGAATTTTGGGCAACCCACCCACATACCAGTAGTTCTTTCTTGTGTGCATAAAGTGTGGCTGTGGCATGTTCCTTAAGAAGCCAAGACCATCAGAATTGGTGACACATGGCCACTACTGAGCCTTGGGAATGTGGCCAGTAGGTGCCTCGACAGTGTGGTTCCTTGCCCTTTTTATTTCCTCCTCAGTGTCCATCTTAAAGCCCAGATTTTATATGTGATCTAATATCTGTCACTATCTCCTTCTTGTTGGTTTTTAATAACAGAGCAGCTCGAAGCTTTGAAAAGCATGATGGAAGCTGGAGAATCTGCTACTCCAGTTAACATCTTAGAGGATGATAATGAAGAGGAAATAGAGTGTGGTAAGCTGTTTTACTTTAAGTTACATGTCTCTGAAATACTTCTTAAATTAAGAAAAACATGAATTTTTCTCCGCGGTCCCTTATACAGATAGTCCTTGACTTACAAAGGGGTTCCATTCTGACGCTGCGTTGTAAGTCAGTTCTGATGTAAGTAGAATGCTTCTTTTTTCTTTTTCAGTTTTCATTATTATTGCCTTTTATTATCAGTATCTTTATAAATCCAATCTTTGAACGTTTGCAAGAGAACGTCTAAGAACGATAACATTAGCAAATTGTGCGCTGCAGCGTTGTATGTAGTACATATTACCAACGATAAGATGTGCAAAAAAAACAGACATCGTAAGTGCACTTTGTCATCTCTCCAATACGTCGTAAATCAGGGACTACCTGTATATAATGATGCTGTTTTTATTCTTAGTAGTCAGGTATGTATTCATGGACCACCCTTAATCTTTTGGTATTTTTCCAAATATTATTCCTTCTCATTTATCTAGCCACCAGATTTTCATGGGTTAGTCATCTCCCTTCCTGTTGTGCATTCAGCTGTTCAGCAGAAATTCACAGCCAGGGTTCCTTGAAGCATGTGCTGTACAAGGCAGGGGTTGGAATAAAAAGAAGTCTCTTCCTATAAACAAAAGCACGAATTCCAGTCTTGTTAATGACGATAGTAGTGAGGCAAGTTAATTTTTACTGTGTGAATGTATTATTGTGATAAGAAATAATACTTAAATCTAAAAGATACATTTCTATTCATCAGTAATTAGGACCATTTAAAAACTATGCTACCATTTTCTTTAAAGCAATTGATAATCAATAGAAATAAATCCAATAAAATAGGATGCTAAACAAAAAAAAAAAAAAGGTGGGGGGGAAGGAACATGGGTAGAGACCCTCAGGTGAATGATTAGTCTGTATGAACACACAAAGTGAACTGGAAATTCAAAGTCAATATTAAAACTTCAAGTTCAAATTCCTACAAATAATCAATTCACCAGAATTATCCACACAGGTAGATAATTTCAGTAAAGGCAGCCTTGCTTAAAATATTTGATGAGTTGACTTTAGCATCTGTTTTACATTTCCCATATAACCACAACCATAATTGTTGTTGTTGTTAGGTGCCATCGAGTTGGTTCGGACTCATAGCGACCCTGTGTACAACAAAATGCTGCCCAGTCCTGCACCATCCTCAAGATCGTTGTTATGCTTGAGCCCATTGTTGCAGCCACTGTGTCGGTCCATCTCATTAAGGGTCTTCTACTTTACCACGCATGATGTCCTTCTCCAGGGACTGGTCCCTCTTGATAACATGTCCAAAGTATGTGAGATAAAGTCTTGCCATCCTTGTTTCTAAGGAGCATTCTAGCTGCACTTCTTCCAAGACAGATTTGTTTGTTCTTTTGGCAGTCCATGGTGTATTCAATATTCTTCACCAGTGCCATAATTCAAAGGCATCAATTCTTCTTCAGTCTTCCTTATTCATTGTCCAGCTTTCACATGCATATGAGGTGATTGAAAACACCATGGCTTGCATCAGGCACACCTTGGTCCTTAAAGTGACATCTTTGCTTTTTAACACTTTAAAGAGGTCTTTTACAGCAGATTTGCCCACTACAATGTGTCGTTTGATGTCTTAACTGCTGCTTCCATGGGTGTTGATAGTGGATCCAAGTAAAATGAAATCCTTGACAACTTCAATCATTTCTCCATTTATC